CTCAAATTAAAAGTTAAGTTTATTAAAATTGAATCAATAAAGTAAAAATTACTATGCATTAGGCAGTTTAGGTCATTGGCATAGATGATGTCCTTTAATTATATTCAATATAAAATAATAGGATAATGATATACATACACTTTCTCATGACACACCTCACCACTCACTCACAGTTTTTATTATGCATACTGTTAGTCTCTGTTACGCATGTAGTCGCTAAATTTCTCCATCTTTTTCAACTCTAGAAACTGTTGGGTTTCTTAATCTTGCTACCATTTATGTAAGAAGCAAACATCTAACCCAAAAAAGTGTCACAAAGAATTAGAAAGACATTTCCAGTAACTTACAAGAAATTAAAAAAAAAAAAGCAAAAAGAGAAAAAAGAAAAAATTGGTATGAAATTAGATATCTCGGATTCTTCGTCAAATATCTTTGGGTAGAGTTGCCTCCCATTAATATGTCTGAAATTTATAAAAATTCATTATTTTTTTCTTCCTCTTTTTTTTTTTTTCTCTCTCCTCCATCTAGGTTTTACTTGAGAACGTGGGTTCTCTTGGAGAACCCAGATTAGATTCTTCAAGGAGAATCCAGAAGGCGTTTTCCAAGAGAACACAAAGAACTCAGATTTGGGTTCTTCTTCAACGGATCAAGGAGGGGGGAAGAGAAGGAAGAAGAGGGGAGGAGAGGGAAAGAAGAAGAAAAAAAAGGAGGAGGAGGGAACAAATTTACAAATGGAGAACTTAAAAGCAGAGAAAGGGAGAAAAGAGAGTAGAGAGAGGGAGAAAGGAGAGTAGAGAGAGCAAGAGGGCTGGGCTGGTAGTAACAGAGAGAGACAGATTAAGTAATGGACAATGAATGGGTGTGACGAAGTGTGCAAAGGATAGGGTAAACGTATCACTGTCCAAAATAATATTCTTAGTTGCATAATCAATGTAAGTTTATGTCCTTAATCAAGACTTTTGCCTTAATTATAGTATCATACTTGTTTGACTATAGGATTTAGGGTGCATTTGAGATTGTTGTGAACTGTTGTGATTATAATTGTACCTGTACCTGTGGTCATGCTTAAACTATGTTGTGCTAAATTGTACTTTGTTGTAATTATGGTTTAAAGTTATTTTGATATTAAATTATTTATTTCTTAAAAGTATTATGGATGAAATATAATATATTTTATTAATTATTAATTAAAATTTAAAAAATATTGTAAGATATATAATTATTAAAATAGATAATATTTATTATTTTTTAATAATTTAGGTTTTT